TTGACAAAAAAGTCAAAATGGTCAAAAAGTCAACGGTCAATAAAAGACAACGATCAACCCTTACCATGACATAGAGGACTCTTGGTTACGTCGTGGGAACATCCGGACAAAACGGCCGCGAGACCCACTTACACCACGACGTGACAGACATACCGTCATGTCATGGAAACTGAATCTAGACAACTTAATGGATTAAGCCCTCAATCCATTAAGCCACACACTCAACTCCTCCAGAAGGCTTCCTTACACCCAAAGAGTCATAAAAATCGTTGATTTATTGTCATGCATGTCCAATGTATGTATTTCCCCAAGCTAATTCATAACAATGGAGGAAATGAGGTCATAAATCTCATGTATGAGCCAAAAATTAACCAAATCTCAGATCTGGAACACTAAACCTCAAAGGGACCTCAAGGATCCATAAAGTTGCCAACTTTATGGAATCCTTCCACTCAAACTTTCTCCAACATGGAGAAAATGCACAAAAAGTTTAGATTTATGAGCATAGAACATAAAGCTTGGAACTTGAACACTCACTATGGTCCAAAATAAGTGCTATAAGATGATGATAAGACTTACAAGTTGAATCTATGCAACAAGGATGCTTCCTTCTCCTTCAAGACACCAAAAACACAACAAAAAGCTCAAGAACTCAACAATGGATGTTAGGGTTTCGTTGAAAGGGTTGGAGGTTGAATAGGATGCCTTAAACCTTGAGTTTAGGGGCTTAAATATGGAGGAAACCCTAAAATACCATGGGCTTGAGCTGCTGCTGCTGTCATGTCGTGACCTTCCTTTCGTCACGTTGTGACAACCATCACAGAAACACGTTCATGAATTTGGCATGCCACGTCGTGGTGCTCCAACCACCACCTCGTGACATAAGGTTTTTCCAAAAAACTTTTCTTTTGATCATTCTAATCCATCCACCGATCTATCCTAGAATATGGGTGTTACATGAGAGAGGCATGAGAAGAAGAACATTTATTTTATGACGTTTCATGTCAACTAAAAGTGCAAAAACAGTTGCTTAGATTTTCTTATGAAGGAGAGCAGAGAGGGGGGAGGGGGGGGGGTTGGGGGTGTAGGGTTGAGGTGAGTAAGAGAAAATGGGTTTGGGAGAGAAAAAAGAGAAAATAAAGGTGTGAGGGAAGGCATAAAAAGAGTGTGAATGAGTCCTACTTTGTTTTTCTTTTTAGTTTTTAATTATAAAATCATTTAAAATAAGAAGGGTAACTTTGTAATTTAATAAACATTTAACTTTTATTTTCTAACAATGTTATTTATAATTATAAGAACCAACAATGGAGTGTTTCAAACTTTCAAGCTCTAGCATATTAAAAATTTATTAAAAAACTTACAATGATATTTATCGACAACCAGAAGGACCATTTATGAAAATTTGTCCACTCAAGTCTCAAATTTTAGAGGTGAAAGGGTAAATACGGCATTCTCAATTTCCATCCTTTATACCACAAACCCTAGCAGATCTGTTGGCAGCCTTACTTTTCTCATAAAACCCTTCTCCCCATCCCCTCTCCTCTGCTTCCTCTGCCTCCAATCTCCACCGCCGTAATCGTTCCCTGCAGCAATGGTACTCTCTTTAACACTAAAATCACACAAAGAACGAATGAGTTTTTATATTAGATATAAACCCTTTGTAATATTGTTTGTTTTGGATTATGATCTTGATGAATGAAATATAATATATTGCAGGCGTCAGAGAGGAAGCTAGCAAATCCAATGAGGGAGATTAAGGTTCAGAAACTCGTCCTCAACATCTCCGTGGGTGAGAGCGGGGATCGTCTCACTCGCGCTGCCAAGGTCGTCTCTCTCTCTCTCTCTCTCTCTCTCTCTATTCACTTCGATGCGAACTCTTCTAATCTTCATTGTTCTGATTAATGGTAATTAGGTTTTGGAGCAACTAAGTGGCCAATCCCCCGTCTTTTCCAAGGGTAAGTTGCATATCACAATCTACCATTACTCGCATTATTCATAACCTCAACTTCAATTAGGTATCCATATATTTTGGTTTTGTTTTTAGACTTGTGTTGTTTAGATGAACTGATTCGTCTTAATGTTTGACAATTCATACTTATAGATTAATCAGTGAATCCTTAAGCTAAAATCTGAACAGTGTTAGTGACCTTTTCACCCCAAATTTATAAATAGACTGATTGTGTACACTACAGCAAGGTACACTGTGAGGTCATTTGGGATTAGGCGTAATGAGAAGATTGCTTGTTATGTGACTGTTAGAGGAGACAAGGCAATGCAGCTTCTTGAGAGTGGATTGAAAGTGAAGGAGTATGAGCTTCTAAGACGCAACTTTAGTGACACTGGTTGCTTTGGATTTGGTATTCAGGAACATATTGATCTTGGAATCAAGTAAGTCATTTTTAATAAAAATACTATGAATACTACTTAATTGTTAAGAAACAATGAACATTATTTATTAGTTTTCACTAATATTATGTAGAAAGTTTTAGATTCATTCTTTCAACTAATTTGATCCCAACGATTATAATTTATAGCAATGAAAAGGTGGTATGAATAAAGTGAAAGTAGGATGCTATAATAAACGTACATTGCTATTTGTGGTTATAAAACATATAAAAGTATATTTATAACCCTAATCTTTTATGTAATTACAGGTATGATCCCTCCACTGGTATTTACGGTATGGACTTCTTTGTGGTTCTAGAGCGCCCGGGTTACCGTGTGGGCCGTAGGCGTAGGTGCAAGGCACGTGTTGGAATCCAGCATAGAGTTACAAAGGATGATGCAATGAAGTGGTTTCAAGTGAAATACGAGGGAGTTATTCTCAACAAATCTCAACAAATTGGGGCATAATTGTCTTTTTATTTACTAGTCTTTTTTGGTTATATTGTATTGTGCCAGAGATTTAATTATTATTGCTTTTGTGTTTTGTACTTGCTGAATCTTAATAGTAGTGAGAATATGAAACCCACCAAGTTTTGGTTTTGATTGGATTTGTTTTGGGATTAGGGTTTTTGGTTATTTTTTTTTTTGAAAAAGACAGGTAAAATTGTTACATAAAGACCCTAAATTTCCTCATTTTTTTGTGTTTAAATCTAAACATCTAATTTCTTTTCAAGAGAACACTAAAAAGTGGGCTTTGGCAAATTTAGTCTGATTTTTAGGTTATAACATCGGGTTTCTCGCTTAGTTAGATTTTATTATTTCACTAAATATGTAAGAATTTTTTTTTCTAAAATCGTAACTATTTGATATAATTTTGTTTAAAACCTAGTTGCTATTCCATGGTAATCGATGGTGATTTTTTTTGGTCTGAACTATTTTAAACACCAACCTAAATTGAATAAGAAAATAAAGAAAAACATGTAAATTAAAAGACACTTTCATGGATTAATAGGTGGGAAATTGACTTTTTCTTTTTCGATATGTCGTTTGGTCCTTCTCACATAACACATCATTAGTATTTAGTAACTTGATTATCTGTTTTCTTTGTAGAAAATCGAAGACCATATATATAGTTTATATATACTTGTAAAATTTTATCAACTATAGTATTTAGTAACTTGATTATCTGTTTTCTTTGTAGAAAATCGAAGACCATATATATAGTTTATATATACTTGTAAAATTTTATCAACTATCTTAAAACAATTTTAGAATTAAAGTTCGAATCTTATAAACATAACAAAAACAGAACCGTTTTACACATTTTTTAATCCACCCAGGCCCCGTCCAGACGGTGGGCAACCCGGGCGGTCGCCCATGACCCATGTCTTAAGGGGCCAAAAATTCATAAAATCTTTCTTCCTATTCTAATAAAAGAATAATTTTAATATCCTTTTGACATGTGTCATCCTATTAGGCTTCCTAATTAATACATATTTCATTCTTCTTTTGTCATGTGTCACCCTATTATGACTTCTAATTAATTCATGCCACTTGTCAAACTATTAATTCTCCATTTCAAATTTCAAATTTTAAAATTTTCACTCTAATTACATTAAATTAATAACATTAGAATAAAATTAAAATAAAATTAATACAAATTATACGTGATATTATTTCACATATTTATTTAAATTAACGATTATAATTTTATATAACTAAAAAATATCTTTTAGTTAATAATTTATTTAAAATAATTGATTAATAATTTTGAGCTGTCACTATGAAAGTTTAATTAGTTTTGTAACCGTGGTTCACACGGGTTATAAACTAGTATATGGTATATATAGAGAAAAAATTAACTTATCTAGAAATGCTATTAGTTGTTTTTATAATGTTTGTAATCATATTTGTGTTTTTTAATATTAAATAGTGTATTTTATAACGGTGTGTCTGCTTTCGATTTAATTTTTATTATATTTATGACTTTAGAGACCTATTTTTTCTTTCACCGTGGGCCCACTATATCTGTGGATCGACTCTCGATCCACCATTGATGCTTTAGCCTAAATAATGGTATGGTGATTAATGAGTACCTAACTCGACAACATGACCATTGTTAAATTAATATTGCCAATAGAGGCGACTGATGTGAAACGCCCTTCTCTTATCCATTGTTTAAAAGAAGGTGGCATGCATGTGGATATGGGGCAGCAATTTAAAAAAAAAAAGATTTTTGGAATCGGTTTTATCGTTTCCAAACAAACAATAGGAACCTGAAGTGGTCTTAGATAAACAATTATACTTGTAATTTTCTGATTACATAATTGGTCTATAAAATTATCTATTACATATTTGTATCTTCATAACATACTAATTATATCGTTTTTCTTTAGTTCAACTCAATTTAAACCACATAAACTATTCACCTCAAAACATTTGACAAAATAACTATTTGATGAGGAAACGTTAACTATTCAGATTTCACAAGGACGAATACACATTTTTATTGAAACTATAGGGGGAAAAACTGAAGAAGTAAACTTGCAGCTTATTTAGATATCAGAGCTATAGAATCTCAAACTTCTTCCTGAATTGGGCGTACAAGAGTAGCGATGCTGTTAATGACCAAAGCCACAACGTTCTCATCATGGGTCTCTCCAGATCTCCATATACGAAATCAAAAACATCTTCTTCACCATAAAAATGTCAAACCAACTTTAAGATCTTTACAATTTCTATCTCAAAGCTTCAACACTTTATACTGTACACGAATTCCCGCTACTTTAACACTGACTACAACCTCTAATCATCAAGTTACAGATTACAATGTTGAAATTTTCAGATTCTGTGAAATGGGTAATCTTCAGAAGGCGATGGATTTGGTTTGTAAGTCTGAAGAAGTTGATTCCAAGACGTACTGTCACATCCTACAGCTTTGCGCGGAGTCAAAGGCTCTGCACCATGGCAAGACAGTTCATAATTTGATATGTTTGAGGGGAATTGAACTTGATTCCGTTCTGGGTTCTAAGCTCGTGTTTATGTATGTGAGCTGTGGGGATGTGAGAGAAGGGAGGCGGATTTTCGATAAAATTGAGAAACATCACGTTTTTCTTTGGAACTTTATGATGAACGCGTATGCAAAGATGGGTGATTATGAGGAGACTGTATCTTTGTTCAGAGTAATGCAGGAAGTGGGTGTCGAACCTGATTCTTACACATTTTCTTGTTTATTTAAATGCTTCGCAGCTCTTGGGAATGAAAATTTCGGGGAAAGTATCCATGGTTATGTTCTAAAGCTGGGGTTTGGACTTGATTGTACTGTCGTGAACTCCATGATTGCTCTTTACTTCAAGCGTGGAAACATTGATAATGCACGGAAGCTGTTCGATCATTTGCCTGAACGAGATGTGATTACTTGGAATACAATGATAAATGGATATGTAGCCAACAGTCTTCCAGAAACAGCCTTTGAGGTCTTCAAGAACATGCTTAATTCTAGGGTTAGCATGGATTTGGCTACAATGGTTAGTGTTGTTGCAGCATGTGCAAGCATGGGTGTCCTTACTTTAGGCCAAACAATTCATGCTTTTACAGTGAAAAGTGAATTCAACAAGGAAACAAAATTTAACAACACCTTACTTGATATGTATTCAAAATGTGGTGACATGGATGCTGCACTTCAAGTATTCAAAAACATGGATGAAAGAAGTAGTGTTGTTTCATGGACTTCATTAATTGCAGGATATACAAGAAAAGGTGAATCCCATAAAGCAATAGAGTTATTCCTCAACATGAAAAAGAAAGGTGTGAAACCCGATACTTTCACAGTCACAAGCATCCTTCATGCTTGTGCTTCAAATGGTTCACTAGAAAAAGGCAAAGAAGTTCACAATTACATCAAAGAAAACAAAATCCAATCTTTAGCAGTTTCTAATGCTCTTATGGACATGTATGCTAAATGTGGTAGCATGGATGATTCATATCATGTTTTCTCTGAAACCCCTTTTAAAGATATTGTCTCATGGAACACAATGATTGGAGGCTACTCAAAAAACTGTCTTCCAAGTGAAGCACTTACTTTATTTACCAAAATGCAAAGTGAAATCAAACCTGATAACATAACAATGACATGCATCCTTCCCGCATGTGCCAGCCTGGCATCTTTAAACAAAGGCCGAGAAATCCACACACATGTTTTAAAAAAAGGGTTTTCTTCAGATCAATTTGTCATCAATGCACTTATTGACATGTACATGAAATGTGGAGCTTTACTTTTAGCAAAATCAATCTTTGAATTGACCAAAATCAAGAATCTTGTCACATGGACAATCATGATCTCAGGGTATGCCATGCATGGATTTGGACATGAAGCTTTATCAACCTTCAAAAAGATGTGTGAAAATAATGAAAAGGGTAAAAAAGGAATTGAACATAATGAAGCTTCGTTTACTTCTATACTATACGCGTGTAGCCATTCAGGGTTGCTCAATGAAGGTCAAGAATTTTACAAAATCATGGTGAATGAGTTCAAGATTGAACCCAAGTTAGAGCATTACGCATGTATGGTGGATCTTCTTTCTAAAACAGGAAAGTTATCAGAAGCGTATAAGTTTATCAAAAAGATGCCTGTTAAACCTAACTCCACAATATGGGGAGCATTACTTTCTGGTTGTAGGTTTCACCATGATGTGAAACTAGCCGAAAAAGTTGCAGAAGAAATTTTCGAATTAGAACCAGAAAACACAGGAAACTATCTACTTTTGGCTAATATATACTCAGAGGCTGAGAAATGGAAGGAAGTGAAGGTGTTAAGAGATAGAATTGTTACAAGGGGTGTAAAAAAGAATGTAGGGTGTAGTTGGATAGAGATTAAGGGTCAAGTTTATATATTTGTTGGAGGAGATAAAGAGAATCCAGAGGCTAAAAAGATTGAATCTTTATTGGATAAGTTGAAAATGGAGATGAAGAAAGATGGATGCTTAGATAGAGTAAAATACGGATTGGTTGATGAAGATATGGAGAAAGAAGTTAAGGTTTGTGGGCATAGTGAGAAGCTTGCAATGGGTTTTGGGATACTGAAGTTGGCTCATGGTAGGACAATACGGGTGACTAAGAATATGAGAGTATGTTGGGAGTGTCATGAAATGGCGAAATTTGTTTCCAAGAATGTTGGGAGGCAGATTGTGTTGAGAGATTCGAATAGGTTTCATCATTTTAAGGATGGGTTTTGTTCTTGTAGAGGTTATTGGTGATTTGATAAAAAGATGTTTAACTACCATTTGTGTATTTAGATGGAATTATTGGTATAAATAGTGATTTGAATCACTCGATTTCAATCTTTTAATCACATAGGAACTAAATTGTTGACCATAAGCTCCTTGTTCGATCCTTACCCTGTGCTAAAATAGTTGATTTAAGGTTATTTTTGTTCACTCCATGAATGCGATCAAAATTTAGAGCCGTTACATTGGAGCTATTACGCTCAACACAATTCTTTGTTTGATTCGTAAACTGTTTTTGATGTAATTTTTTTTTTCATTTAGTTTATCATTAAGTTCTTTTTTTTACAAATTCTTTCGTGTTTTCTTTGTAGTCTCATAGTCTTTTCATGTATACCCATAAACGTTCTAAATTTCAACCTAAAATTTTCATTTAAAATTTAAAGGAAAACTTAAATAATTTCATTCTCAAGAGAGTAATTAACAATTTGTTTCAAACATCATCAAATCAAAGTTAAAAGAGCGCGGAAAATCTATAAAACATAAACACAGATGCGGTGCAATCATGCCGCGCCTTTCCCTTTGCTACCAGAAACAGCAACGCCTGAAACAATTTAAATTTAAAAGTGTAAGCACAAAACTTAGTGAGTTCTCCAAGATACCACATACAACATACATATAATGGGCCTCACCTAAAATATATGTTTCCAACATGCATGCCTCGTCCAACGACTATATAAGTACGCCTCACCCAATAAACATATAACATTCATGCAAGTTTCACAAAGACAACAAACATTTCAATGACTCCTAGTATCCTATAGTAGAGTGAGAAGACTCACATGAATCTCACGGCCAAATCCGACTAATCAAAGTCTTAACAAATCGACTACATGCACTGGTTAAACAAAACACAACCTAAACCCCAGTCAGCTAACCTCCAAGTTTGACCCAAAAGTCAAACAAGTCAAAAAGGCAAAAAGTAAACGGTCAACGACATGCGTGCTGTGAACGTTGACCGGTCGCGTCACGAAACACAAAAGTCAAACATAGACAACAATCATATAACATTCAAGTTTAACCGCTTAGAACCTCCAAGTTTGACCCAAAAGTCAAACATATAACATTCATGGAAGATTCACAAAGACAACAAACATTTCAATGACTCCTAGTATCCTTCAGCAGGTCACACCGTGATTTTCTTCTAGACAACTTAACTCATTAAGCTCTCAATCCTATACTTCAGCAGTTCCAATTCTCAGATTTGATACTCCACAACGACTTAATGGATAAAGTTTCCAACTTTATCCATCCCAAGGGATTGATAACTATAAATCTTAATCCCTAAGTCAAGAGTCCACTTATAAGGCCAAAACTCAATGCATGGTCTAAGGACAAGCATGCATAAACATTTTTCCGACACTAAGTAAGTCCAGAAGTTGATTAATTCGCTCAAATGGTTCTGGAGTTCTCCAAGATCAAATAACACCATTAAAGGGACCAAAATGACACCATAAAATAATCCAAAACCTAGATCTAGCATCAAATAAATATAAAGGTGGAAGCTTTGCATCATACCAAGGTCCAGAAGTTGATTGGGCGAAGATGAACTCCTGGGAAAACAACTTACAAACACGAAATGACCTTTCTTCTCTATAATATTCCAAATAAAGCTTCCAAGATCATCAAAACTTGCAACGAAAGAAGAAAGGACAATATGGAGGCTTGGGTTTACTCCAAGGAGGCTCTTTGAGGTGATGGGGGCAAAAAATAAAGCTTGGGTTGCACCAGCATTCGTGCCATGACGCCCTATGTGTCGTGCCGTGATTGGCTTGATCCAATAAGGCCCAAACATCATAAGCCCAAATCGATACCAACCCAAAACTAACCCTTTAAATCAAAAGCCTTATACTTTTAGCCCAAAATCTCATTCTTTTAAGGCCCAAACCTTATTAAAGCCCGAGAGCTTCTCATAACTAAATTAAAGTCCGCCATTACGAAATAAGAAGCGTCCCGAAACCGGATGTTACACATGACGATCTTCCATTACCATTTGACATGGAAATTGAGAGATCTACACTTGAAAAACCACTATTTGTCACCATTCTACTCAAATCCAATTTTGAGGACCTTGGGAAAGTAATTATTAACAACAAATCAACAAGATAAAAAGTTAATCCGATTTTGAGGACTGTGAGAAAGTAATTATTAACAACAAATCAACAAAAGAAGAGGTTTTTTTAAAGGATCCATCGATACGATGGCGGGATGAAGGACCATGGACTATTATGTACGACATGAACTATTATGGACAGTTGTGCATTCTATTAATGATAGTTAATCATGCATCTTACATCCAACAACTAAAGCATCCAATTTAAAAATCACTTATGCATATTATTCAAATGGTGTTTCTTCAATCATGCATCTTACATCCAACATTTGAAGCTTCCGATTTCGAAATCAAGACATATATTATTCAAATGGTGAGAAACAACACATAATTTGTTAGGTTACACGATACAGACCCAACACGCATGTCACAATTTTTTTGGAATTATGCTACATGTTCAAAGTTCATACGGTATCGGAAGATGCCATTCATCACCGACTATTCATGTTCTCTTTTCTTTGAAACACCATTTTATCCTTGCCCACCGACTCCATCACCATGTGGACGATGCTAGCCGAAAAGTTCTTAAAGAAACATTTTCAACCGCAATGGCCACCATGTTAATTAATGACATTACCTCATGTAAAATGGAGGAGGAAGAATCACGTTATGAGGCATGGGAGAGATATCAAGAACTAATCCAATGATGCTCTCATCATGATCTCTCACTATGAAGATAAGCTCAAATCCTTTACAATGGTTTGGATATGTAAAATCAACAAGCCATTTATGTGGCAGCCACATGTTCCCCGATGAATAAAACATCCAAAGAGGAACATGAACTCATTGAAGAAATGGCCACGAACAAAAATCCTATTCCTACTATCATATTAAAAACAAGAGCAAGCATGTCCAATTCTAGAGTGAATAAAAAATGATATTGTGATTGAGGTACTTTTGCAAATGAGAAAATTGACAACCGATGTTAAGAATCTAAAACAAAAGCCTCCCATACGAGCACAATTTGATCATTATGTGATGAGTGATGACTAATACAAGAGTGTGGACTGTAAGAAGCACAACATGTTTTCACATGATGATGATAACATCAGGGAGTAAGAGGTATACTATTCTTCCCACGATCATGCCTATATAAAATAAGAAACTCAATTTTTTTTATATATCGTCATCACAACACAATCAATACAACAACCAACACAATAATGAGTGGTGAAGGAATAACAATTCAGGCTCAAACTGGAGAAGCAAAAACAATTTGGGTTCAAACTATACAAAACCTTAGATAAATTCATAATATACAAAACCGTGGTGGAATTGTAATTGGGCATTCCAGTTAAATATCTTAGGACTGATAAGGGAGGTGAATATATGGATCCCATATACTTCCAATCAGTGGGTATCATTCATGAGACCACGACACCTTACACACCCCAACATAATGGTATTGTTGAACGCAAAAATCAAGTTTTAAAGGAAATGGTAAACTCGATGTTGCCATACTCGGGATTGAGTGAAGGATTCTGGGGAGAGGCCATGTTAACGGCCTGCTATTTATTAAATAGGATTCCAAATAAAAGGAACAAAACAGTCCCATATGAACTTTTGTTCAAGAAAAAGCCGAATCTGAGTTATTTTCGGGTTTGGGGATGTCGGGCAGTTGTAAAACTCACCGAGCCCAAAAAGAAAAATTTGGGAGAACATGAAATTAATTGTATATTCATTGGATATGCTGAACATTCCAAGGCATATAGGTTTTATGTAATAGAACCTAATGATTCGGTTTCGATCAACACTGTTATCGAATCACGGGATGCAATTTTTGATGAGATGCGGTTTTCATCGATTCTGTAACACCCGATTCCTGGTATGTATTAAATTCAAGAAATGTTGAAATTTACTCTGGGACTCGGCGAGTTGGAGGCCCAACTCGTCGAGTAGACTCGACTGTTGATCGGGGGTTTAAGTGACCTACTCGACGAGTGGGAAGACCGACTCGACGAGTAGGAGCTGTCTGGACAAAACCCTAATGTTTAGGGTTTGCACCCTATTTAAACAACTTATCTCCTCCCATATCAGCCTCCATCGTCCCTCACACTTCCAGAAGACCTTAAACTGAAACCCTAGCCTTGTTTGAGTGCTCTTAAGCCATTTTTGTGCATTTTTGGTGGTTGTGAAGCTTGAGCAGAAGGAAGGAGCTTGGGAGTTCAAGTTGAAGCTAGAAGATCCAAAGATTGTGTTCCATTTCCAGCTCATTTAAGTTAAAAAGCTTCAATCTTGACTTTCCATGTGTTTAATCAACTTAGGGCTTGGATTTTTGGTATCTTTAGGGTATTTCTAAGCCATTTTCGGGTTGTGGGGTGTAATGTGGAGATATGGCTTCAGATCTTGGACTTTGGAGGGTTCTCATGGCATAAAGGTGCCAACTTTATGGCCATGAGAGACCCATGCATCTTGTAGACCTCCTTTTATGGCTTTTTGAGCCAAAGACCCCATGCATGTATATCAAGTTTGAAGCTTTACGTATAAAATGGACCCTAGGAGGCCAGATCTATGGTTTTGACACGTTAAGACCCGTTATAATCAACCGTATAGTTTTGGACATAGAGGGACTCGGCGATTCGTTCTTGGGACTCGACGAGTCGGGGTGTATTTTCCACCAAACCCTTTCTGTTTATGGATCAGTTGTTAAGATCGAAGGTTTCCCCAGTTGTTTAGGTTCACTAGGGACCTGGAAATCATAGGACTCGACGAGTGGATGAACAGACTCGACGAGTTCAAAGCAATGTCCCAACCACATGAAGACGGACTCGGCGAGTTCAAGGGGAACTCGGCGAGTCATAGACTGAACATCTTCTTATGGATGAAGATGAACTCGGCGAGTTCAAGGACGAACTCGGCGAGTCGGTTGAAGGTTGTCCGATGTGTTGTTGAAGGAGAACTCGTCGAGCTCTTGCTAGAGTCGACGAGTAGGGACAGGATTATGGCATTTTGTGGAAATGGGGTCTCGACGAGTTGACGGGCCAACTCGGCGAGTCGAGTCAACCAGATGTTGACTTTAACCAAAAGTTGACTTTTGACCATGGATTTGACTTTGACTTTGACTTGGATTGAGTGACCCTTGTAAGGGTTACGAGTATGAGTTGATAACTTAGAAGAGTTGCTGTGTAGGGATTGAGGAGTCGTGGAGAGTCGATTTCCACACCGAGATCTGTGCAGACACTACACGACTTCGAGGTGAGTTTCCTTCTAGTAGGGGTGGGTCTACGGCCACAATGCCGGCCCGCAAGTGAGAGTGTTGGATAAATGATTGTCTTTGTGATAATTATCTAGGATTGATATGTGATATGCTTACTGTGCTTGATATGATTAATATGATTGATATGATTATTATGCTTAATATGTGTTAGCAGTAGTAGGGGTGAAATAGTCCCTGGTTACCGGTTGAAAGATACCGAAGGGGAGGTTAGTTCCCAGTTACCGGTTGAAAGATACCGAAGGGGAGGTTAGTTCCTAGTTACCGGTTGAAAGATACCGAGGGGGAGTCCAGCTCCCGGCTATGCCTGACAGTTACCGGTTGAATGATACCGAGGATTATGCATTATTTGGTATGGGTATGATGGGGGAACTCACTAATCTTTGTGCTTACGGTTTTTAGTTTTGGTTTCAGGTACCTCTTCGTCTAAGGGGAAGGAGTCGGCGGTGTAGCAGCGTATTACACACACACATGATTTCCGCATTGAGTTTTCTGGGATTATACTCTGAATTTTTAATACTATTGATGATATGGTTTTGAGACACATTGTTTGGTTTTATAAATTGATATGACATTGGCAATGTTTTGGTAAACTATTTTACAAGTTACTTAATTAAAAATGAAAATTTTGGCCTTGAAAATTGGGATGTTACAGATTCAGAGGCCTAAGGATCTGACCTTTGGTGCTAATAAAGAGCAAAATTCAGAAAGTCAAGATGGTGGTAATGTGCAAGAACCAAAAGAGCTTCGTAGAAGCAAAAGAGGCCAAATTGCAAAAAATTTCGGATCCGACTTCCAACTGTATTTGGTGGAAGGTTCAAGGGATGAAATTAATATTGAATACTCTTATTGCTATAGTATTGAAGATGATCCTAAGACTTATCAATAGGCCATGGAGTCTCGTAATAGTGCATTTTGGAAGGAAGCAGTTGATGATGAAATGTCATCAATTCTTGAGAACAACACATGGGTGTTGTCTGATTTGCGTCCAGGTTCTAAACCACTTGGTTGAAAATGGATTTTCAAAAAGAAAATGAATTTTAATGGGACTATTGATAAATTCAAAGCCCGGTTAGTCATTCAAGGTTTTAGACAAAAACCCGGCGTTGACCATTTTGATACGTATGCTCCATTTGCACGTATTGCTACTATTATATTGTTGATTGCCTTGGCAAGTATCCATAATATGGTTATTCACCAAATGGATGTGAAAACAACCTTTTTAAATGGTGATCTTAACGAGGAAGTTTACATGAAACAACCAGAAGGTTTCATTATGCCCGGTAAAGAGCATATGGTTTGTAAACTTGTCAAATCTTTGTATGGGCTGAAACAAGCACCTAAACAATGGCATCAAAAATTTGATGAGTTTATTTTGTCTTTTGGTTTGAAGACAAACCAATATGACAAATGTGTTTATAGTAGATTTGATGATGCTACTAGAGCTGGAGCGATCATTTGCTTATATGTAGATGACATGTTGATTTTTGGTACCGACCAAAATCAAGTAGATGAAACAAAGAAATTGTTATCATCTAAGTTCTCCATGAAAGATTTAGGGGAGACTGATGTAATTCTTGGAATAAGAATTAAATGGATGAACAAAGGGTTGGTAATGACTCAAAGTCATTATATTGAGAAAATTCTCAAGCGGTTTAATTTTACTGACTGTTTTCCTGTGAGTACTCTTATGGATCCAAGTGTGAAACTAATGCCAAATAATGGTGTTCCCATTTCACAGTTGGAATACTCTAAGGCTATTGGTAGCTTGATGTATGCCATGACAAGTACCAGACCTGATATTGCTTTTGCGGTGGGTAAATTGAGCAGGTATACTAGTAATCCCAGTGCTCAACATTGGCAAGCAGTAAATAGAGTGTTTAAGTATCTCAAGGGAACCATGAATTATGGTTTGAGTTACTTGGGGAGTCCTTCGGTTTTAGAAGGTCATTCGGATGCAAGTTGGATAACCAACATGGAGGACCATTCCTCAACTTCTGGTTGGGTATTCTTGCTTGGGGGAGGTGCCATTTCTTGGGCTTCCAAGAAGCAATCTTACATTACAAAATCGACAATGAAATCTGAGTTTGTTGCGTTAGCAGCTGCTGGTAAAGAAGCAAAGTGGCTATGGAATTTAGTCTATGAGATTCCTTTGTGGTCTAAACCGATAACACCTATTTCTATCTTTGTGATAGTGCAGCCGCTTTGGCTAAGGCATATAGCCAAGTTTATAATGGCAAGTCTAGACTCCTAGGTGTTAGACATATTATGATTAGAGAACTAATCATGAATGGTGTGATTTCGGTTGATTTTGTGAAATCGCAACAAAATTTGGCAGATCACTTGACTAAAGGTCTAACAAGAGACTTAGTGCACAAGTCTGTAACCGGGAAGGGATTAATGTCCATTTAATTATGTAATGATGAGACACCCAATTCCCTACTAATATAATTTTAGGAGTTGAATTCAATGTGGAAAGCTCATACTTATAGATTGGAACACATGAAGTATTCATCCCAGGTATGTGTTCGGTTCTGCAAGTTAGCTAGGCTGAAGTTTAACTTCTTAATAATTTCTTTGATAAATGTATGTGTAGATACATGGAAATGAGTTACCTACGTGATTGTGAAGTGTAGCTGCATTTCAAGAGGTTGTGGACTTGACCTTGATATGATCATGAGAGGATTGGGACACACAACTTTATAATAGTGTCAAGTTGTATTTTGCTAGAAATTCAATAAACTAGTATGTATTTTACTTTCTAGTATTCCAATGGGTTGATGGGTTCAATTCTTAGAACACCCTGATTCTCGAGTATTTGCAAATGTATGATACTAAGTGAGAATTCAATCGTTTCGATATTTTCATTATGTACTAGTTTGGTTTGTTTGATATGGTTATGTTTGTTCAAGGGTTACACTAAAATGGGGAAGGGTTGCTGGTGATTTTAGTGTCACCATGTCATTTTATGTAACTGGAATTAACATGTGAGCTAAGGGGCTTCATAATTTATATTCTAATATATGTCCGGGTTTGTGTGGAGTTCACACATGTTTAAGATCGAACTAGAAGCCGGTTCGACGACAAGTCGGGGGTCCGGGGGCAACGCCCCTTTGGCGGGGTCTAAGGGTCAGCGCCCCAAAACCTTTCCGAATCTTACATATGGGAACATAGTGGGAAATTAGGATTCTTGAGGGTGATTATGGTAAAACTAACGAAACTCGTTAGTTTTGGTAACCCTAAATCCTCATTAAAATCTGGATTACCCTGACTTGCTTCGAAAGCAACTCATGACGGCCCAACCCTAATGAAACCCTAATCTCGTTTATTATATAAACGGTTTTTCATTATCAGAAGAAAGAAACGAAATTTAGTTCTCGTTTTCTTCAAACTTTCACAGAATCTTTCTAGCAATTTGACTTACGATTTCTCTACCTAGTATCGTAAGTGTCCACTTGAATTATCCTAGGTTGAATTTCTTGCAACCCAGACATAGAGTAGAAATATCAGTTCGGAAAGTGTTCTCACGATCAAAGTTGGTATCCAGATCTCCACCATAAACCCTAAATTTCCTAACATTTCCAAGCACCAATACTCCAATCACTCGATTGGTTACACTTTTTAAAATTTTATGTGTGGTTAGTGTTTATACGGCTAGTGCTATTTTGGGCAACAACTGGATAAAAAGATCGTTATTATTTCATAAGCTAACAAAACTTTTTTCGATGTACTATATAAATCACACCAACAGTCTGAATTCGATCGTTTGTCAGGGAAGCATAGTAAGGTTAGAGGCGTAACTAAAAGAGTTGGCCATATTTCACTCTTTTGATCAATTCAATTGCAGTCTCCAAAGCCCTTCTTGATCGATGGTCCCCATTCTATGGAAAATAATTGTTAGTCCTTGTCTTTTCCATAGACAAATTGCGTTCATATGTTTGGTGATAGTTGCAATTCTTTGCCAATATGTGGTGTCTCTTTGTGGTAGCCGCCTTATATGTTTCCTACACAAGATAAACAAGGAGAATTATTGGCATGGTCTACCTATAAGACATAACAAGTTAAAGAACTCAACTAGGTCCATTCAAACGAAGAGCCATTACATTAAAGAATTTATATATGGCTAAACATGCGACCCATCACATTTAGTTATTAATCCACCCAAAAGGTTCACTTATAATTAAAAATGTTAAAAGTAAAAATCATTACAACCATATAGAGAGTAAAAATCACTTGTCATATAGTTGTGAATGCTATTAAATGCCTCAAATATATAGTAACCCAGTAAATTTGAATGAAAATAAAAAAAAATCTCCACTTGGCAAAGGGAAAATACTTTATATTAAACCAACGACGGAAGAAAGATAATGCCATAAATGCCAAAGTCATAGAGTTAGATCAAAATGAAGATAAATTAAGATTAAGAATTAAGATCATTAAGAGGTCCCTTTCAAATTGGAGTATATTATTGTACTATTCTAATAATATTGAAATTAAATAATCCCCAAACCCCCTTCCCTCCTTTAGAGTTTGGATTTATTTTCACATCTTCTTGCACGTCCTCTATAAAATATCCAATTTGCCCATCTGTCGACATTTGGGACCCGTATAATTAATTTACACCACCCCATTCTTTCATCACCTTCCCCCATTTTCCTTCATCAGTTTTTCTTCCTCTCTTTCTCTTTCTCTCTCTCTCTCATTCATCCATTTGAGCCATCATTATAGCTACGTATATATATGCGTAAACACAAAGGTAAATATCAAGAATCCACCAGAAGTCATACAAGACTTAAAGAGGTTTTCTCAAACATGGAAGATCAAGAAGAGCATGACAACTCGCCGGAAAACAGTGGAGAGTCACCAACTTCTGACATGTTTAACGACGTGAAGACCACTTCCACTTCAAGTACCCTTAAAAGGAGGTTAGTTGATTTTAGTGTGGAACACACACAAAAGCACAATTGAATTTTCCATCAAATATATTCCAATACAAACTCAGAAAAAAAAAACTGAGTTTATATATTGGGATTTGTTATACAGTAGACGTTCGATACAAAAACGAGTAGTATCAGTGCCACTAAGAGACATCGAAGGATCTCGGTTGAAGAGTGAGACAAATGCTCCGCCTTCTGATTCTTGGGCTTGGAGAAAATATGGCCAGAAACCCATCAAAGGCTCACCTTACCCTCGGTATATATGTTAACCCTCTAAAATTTATGTAATATAATTTTGTATTATGTTTGTAATAATCGAATGAATCAAGGTAAGATGATTTCTATGTTTCTGCTAATTATGAAACTAGAGTCATGATAGGAATTTCGGAAGAGATTAATTATTATGTTCTTAAGTCACATATAATGTGCATCTTTTCAATATAAAAGTAATTGAAAACCATTTTACAAAAGAAAAAAAAATTAAAATTAAAATCATAGCAATATATGTTTGAGATTAATGTATTTTGATAAGAATTTAATTATATGTTTTCTTCATTATTTAATAATAATTAAGCTATTTTACTCTTTTAATATTACATTGTCTCTTCTTAACGCTAAAAAGAAATATTATCTCTTAGATAATTTCAATTCCCAAATTACAACGTTGGTTAACAATTTTTTTATTGTGTTTTAAAAAATAAGTTATCTTACAATTGAATATATTATTCTCATTGTGTTTTTCAATAGATAAGTTACATCACAATTGAATATAAAAATTCACGTGATGTTTACAAGATGCTAATGACAAGACAAAACGATGATAAATTAAGAAATTAATAATAAGCCTCAATTATTATTTTCTTTGGCAGTGGCTACTATAGATGTAGTAGTTCGAAAGGATGTCCCGCAAGAAAACAAGTAGAGAGGAGCCGAACAGACCCCACTATGGTTATGGTGACGTATTCATGCGAGCACAACCACCCTTGGCCGGCTTCAAGAAACAACAATCACCACCACCACCACAACTCCGCGGCATCACCACCACCTGCAGCCTCCACTACCACTACCACCACCACAGAAGAAACAGTCTCATACTCCGATGATCAAGAAGAAGATCCTCCTCTCATTACAAAGCAATCTATATCCGAGCCTGATGAAAAGTTCACCAGTACTCTTGATCAGGTGGTGACGGGTGGGCCTTTTGTAACTTCGAGCGATCAATTCGGGTGGTGTTATGATTTGGAATCCACGACCTCAACCATGTTAGAAAGTCCATTGATGGCTGGAGACATAGTGGGAGATGCTGACATGGCTATGATATTCTCAATTAGAGAAGAAGACGAGTCTTTATTTGCCGATCTTGGTGAGTTGCCAGAATGCACGACGGTTTTCCGGCGGAGGGAGATAATAAACGAGGAGGAGCACCACCATAGGAGGCCGTGCAACTTGGCCCCATGGTGTGGTACAAAAGGGTGACGACACAGGCAGATATTTTAGTGATGAATTTGTCTTTACTGTGGGCTGGTATTTGTAAAACTCCGAGGAGTTGCGTACAGTGCGCCTAAAGATACCTAAAAAAACAAATTTACGATCTTGAAACTTTTCCACTTTTAATTTTTTAGATATTCCTTGGTTTCAGTGTCATAATTAACCAATAAAAGCTTGGAGAGAAAAAGTGTTCCCATTGGAGATGAGTTTGTCTTGATGTGGGTGTTACTCAGAATTGAATTGTTTGGCCACCGTTTCCAACGTCAATCTACTTTGCATGGCACTTTTAGTCTTTAACTGTAACTGAAAGGATATACCATCATATGCCATTTATTTATTCAATTTTGTTCCCGTTTGTTTAAGGATACGCTCCTTTTAATTAGTTTCCTATGATTATAATTCATAAAGTGATGGAGGATTTCTTTTTCTTGTTGCTTAAGTTAGTTTAGTCTTTGGTTTTCACAATTTTATATATATATATATATATATATATATATATATATATATATATATATATATATATATATATATTAAGAAATTTTTTTGGTAGGAAGTAAGAAATTTTTTTTTCTACATATTTTTTTGACGAACAAAATAAATGAATCATTAGATGATTCATTTGTAAGATGATTCACAAGAAAAAATTCCCAAAAAAACATCTTTATGATTCATTTTTAAGTAAATTAAGAAAAAATTCACTTTTATGACAATTTTAGTGAATAACAACAAAATCATTGTATAAATGAATCATCGAGATGTTTTTTTGAGAATTTTTTCTTGTGAATCATCTTACAAATGAATCATCTAATGATTCATTTTGTTTGTTTGCGAAAAAAATATGTAGAAAAAAAACTTCTTACCTTCCTACCAAAAAATTTCTTCTTATTTGATCTTGACTCTATATATATATATATATATATATATAGGCCTAGTTTATTCTATTCTAACTAATTATTGTGTTATTGTATGAATGATTGTGGGCCAATCATTTTACTTATTTTAAGAAAGTGGTTATTACATATTATTGAATTAAATATAATTGAAAAATACCATCTAATTTAACTAGAAGGGTATTTTAGTCAGTTAATATAGATTTAATAAAGAAAATTTGCATATTTTAAGGAAAATTGCATATTTTAAGGGAAAATAGATTCTATTAATTTTAAAAATCTGATTGTATGGATGATAATTCTCCTAATTCGGAAATTCTGACGGAATATGTTTATCAATATATAGAAAAATAACAAAAATTATTGAACCATACAAGAATACACATTCTGATATAATATATATTTTGATTTAATGAACTTCTTGAAGAATAACAAAATTTTGGATACAAGTTAAAAAAAATTTCATTACATTCTTAGAAAAGAAAAAAAATTATATACTATTCTATGAGAATGTTACACTTATTAATAACAAAGAAATACAAATATATAAATCATTCTACCAGAATATACTATTATTCTGCTAGAATAATCCATTCTTTTTGGAAGATTGGTGGTCATTGTTCATCTTTATCCCGTAGAATAACCCATTCGATGTCCCCTCTTCCCTCTATATTTTCCTGTCAAAAATCAAAATCAAACACCAATTCCTCCCAATGATTGCTGCTGCCCTACCCCATCCCGTTCTTCCTTTCGGCACGTCGAACCCAGGAGACCACATCGCTGCTTTTTCACGACTTCGATGCTTCGGCCTCATCGAGCCCCAGAGTCGGCGATCCTCCTCCTGATGGATCGACCAGTTCCTACGGGGGGTTTAGGTTAAAATCAAAACTTTGGATCGTGGTGGTAATTAAAAGGGGATAAATTAGGTTAAAATCAACTAGCATAATTATAGGAAAGTATTTGGGGAAGTTGTTTATAAAATTACCTAATTACCCTTATTTATTTATTTAATTATTTATTTATATTTTAAATTTTGATTGACCCACATTTATGCATACAATAACACAATAAATACTTTAAACACCTGAACCTAGCTCTCTCTCTCTCTCTCTCTATATATATATATATATATATATATATATATATATATATATATATATATATATATATATATATATAGATCAAGGTTGTAGAAATTGCTCGACGTAGGCTAATCGGTGGACTGGGGTCAAAGGATTAATCGGCTAGGCGGGGATTAATCGGAGGATTAATCGGGGACCATTAATTATTAAAAATATTAATAAATTAATAAATATAACATTAATCCTAAGAATATAAAATTAAATATAACATTATAATTGAACAAAATTATTAAAAAATTAATAAATATAACATTATAATTGAACAAAATTATTAAAAAATTAATAAATATAACTATCTCCAAACATTGAAGCCATTTTCATGGCCAAATTTGCAGCCATTTCTCTTCTCTGAAAATAAGGCATCAACCTCAAACTATCAGGCATGTTTCCAATCTCAGACATCAATTTTTCCATATCCTCAACTTCAAACATGATTCCACCTTCATCATCATCATCAAAATCATTACCTTCATTTGAATTTCATTATCAATTTCTTCTAGCAATTTGGATGTTGATGTTGAAGGCTGCATATCTCCTGTGACTTCTCTTTCATTCTTGATAATTGATTCTATGGTATCATCTTTAGTTGCAAAAACCCATGATGTCAAATTTGTTCCTAATGCATAACAAGATGTCAAATTTCCCAATATCATTGCGGGCAACACTTGAGAACTTCATTTAAGCATTTTATCGAACACATGACGGACATGAAAAGTAGTGTCCGATTTGAACCGATGAGACTAGAAATTTTTACCCAGGATCAGTTATAATGTCCCATTTTATCGTACAACTGCACAAGTTTGATAATTGAGTTTGATAATTAAATATAAAGAGATTTGATAATCGAGTTATGCAGAGGTTTGATAATCGAATACAAGCACCTCAGAAAAAATAGAAGGCGAGCTTGAAATCAGATATGGTTTGCTGAAATCTTATTGAGTTTGAATGTTAATTCGATCAACAATAGAAACATGAAAAATGAAATCAGATTGAACGTATCTATAATAAATCAAAACTTGTCAAGGGAAGAAAGAACGTTCAGTTAAGATGATTCGATAATCAGAACGAATCGACAATTAAGTCATCATCCATTGAAATCGACAACAACAAGAAAAAATTAAGCAAATAACTCATCAATTATTTCATACATAACCTCGATTCCACCTAATCTCCTCCTCACTAATCCTTTCCAGATTACCCAAATATTGATTGTTGATTGGGTTCGATACTTGAGAACTCGTGGCAAAAAACAATGGCAGAGTCGGTACTTGAGAACTCGTGGCAGAAGACGATTATTGATTCCATATTAAGCAATTATTTATTGTTGATTGGGTTCGGTACTTCATCAGGGGAGGAGTAGTCGAGCAGGGGAGGAGACGAGCCATCAAGAAAATTGGGGGAAGAACAAGATGCAAAGAACATATATGAAAGAGTAAAAGTTTGAGCATCCCACATCGAAGCTGGAACATTCTATCAGGGAAAACATACTCTATATAAAGGGAATCCTCCTTACAAAAAAAAAACACAGGCAAGCCGGCTCCATAAGCTGGTGGGTCTTTTAAAGTCTTTTGGACCGATTAGATCCGAGTTGGACCGATTTGGTCGGAGTTGGGCAGGTTTTGACCGATATTGACCAATTCCGCCTAGCTTAACCCTCTAACCCCTATTCGTAGGCAGTTAGAGGCCGCCAAGCGTCTAGGCGCCGATTAATCGGCCTCCTAGACCAATTTTTACAACCATGATAAATATATATATATATATATATATATATATATATATATATATATATATATATAGGGCTAGATTAATGTGTTTCTTACATTTATTGTGTGTTAGAATGCACCAATAGGAATTTAGTAAAATTAAATAATTTTTTAATTAAATGAATATAGATATTAAATGATTTCCATAATTGTATGTATATTAAATGATATTCATAATTATAATTATCTTGTTATGGAAACTAATTAAATTCGTCATTAATGTCAGCAATAACATTCTTTCAGAATGAATTCGCATCTAGGTTTTTATGTATGAATTCGTATTTTGTTTCAAGATTCACTCACTTAAAAATTAAAATACAATAAAGTTGCATTGAATATGAAGAACGAGAGTGTATTCTAGTAGAATACACTCTTATTATGCTAGAATACACTTTCATTCTTCTAGATACGAATTCATTCTGAAAGAATATTATTGTTGACATTAATGCCGAATTTAATTAGTTTTCATAAGAAAAAGGATTATAAGTATGAATATCATTTAATATACATATAACTATGGAAATCATTTAATATCTATCTTTATTTGATTAAATAATAATTTAATTTTTACTAAATTCTTATTGGTGCATTCTAGCACACAATAGATGTGAGAAACATTTGAACCTACTTCTCTCTCTCTCTCTCTATATATATATATATATATATATATATATATATATATATATATATATATATATATAGAAACAGGATCGGGTGAGGACTCGTAAAGACATCTTAAAAAAATTGAAAAAAAATCTAAAAAAAATACAAATCATAAAATCAAGCATAGATCTATGTCCGAGAGAAAAAAAAAATTGGATCATTAAAATTGAATCATGGATCATAATGATGCAAAATAAAAAATTAAAATTGAATCATTGATCAATTTTAATGATGCAAAAAAAATATTTTTCCAAATTTTTTTTTCTTCTGGACATAGATCTATGCTCGATTTTATGATTTGTATTTTTTTTATATTTTTTTGAATTTTTGTAAGGTGTCCTCATGAGTCCTCACTTTAAAATGAGTCCTCACAGGAACCGGACCCTATATATATATATATATATATGTGTGTGTGTATGTGTGTGTATATATATATATATATATATATATATATATATATATATATATATATATATATATATATATATATAAGTCAATAAGTCGAATGGTTAATCTAAAAAAATAGTGATGGGAGCACGTAGAACAATTGTCAACAAGTTCACAAGGAAAATGTAGAAGTAAATGTTGTGAGCACCCCAATTTCTAATTGATTCAACTTTCAATCGGTGAAAAACTTTTCACTACGTAACCCACAAGCAGCCTAAGAAAAGTTATGCCCAGAAAACCTGATAGTACATGGCAAAGACAAGAGAATCATGAACATGGGTTGAGGATATCAAGCCAATGATATATAGGTCCTAGCACTTCATGACCATCGGATCGGACGCACTGGGAAACTTGCCAATATCTTTCGTGTTTGCAAACTTCCCGGAGGAATGACTAGAGAAGAATCTTTTCAAGATGTTTCAGAAGTATGGTGTGGTGGCAGTATGGTGTGGTGGCGAATGTTTACATGGTCATGAGGAGGTTTAATTAACAAGGCAAAGGTTTGGTTTTGT